AAAAATAGGGCTAACATGAGTTGGCGCCGAGAAAAAGAACTAAAGCAAAGGATGAATGACCTTTTGGATAAGGAAGAAACCTATTGGATGCAGTGATCAAGAATAAATTAGTTGAGAGAAAGAAGCAAGAACACCACTTTCTTCCATGCACAGGATTCCCAACGTAAAAGGAAGAACATTAAGGGCTTAGAGGATGAAAATGGGGTATGGCATAAAGGAAAATTGGAAATGCATGAGCAAGCTGTGGAATATTTTAATGATTTGTTCAAATCTTAAAGACTATCAAATTTTGATGAAATCCTAGAGGCAGTAAATCCTCGAATGACAAACGAGATGAACAAATATCTTCTACCAGCGTTTAGAGCCGAGGAGATCCTTGAGGCCAAAAACAAATCCACCCCACAAAAGTACTAGGACCAGACGGTATGCCTGCCTTATTTTTTCCTAAGTTTTGGCACGTTGTAAGTCCAAATGTTACTAAGTTTTGTTTGGCTATACTAAATTGGGAAGGGATGCTAAATGATATAAATGATATTAATATAGTACTTATCCCAAAAATTTTTAAAAAAAAAAAAAAACCCCAAAAGAATTACCCACTTTCGACCTATTAGTCTATGTAATAACTTATATAAGATTATTGCTAAGACTTTAGCTAATAGGCTAAAATATATTCTTCCAACTTGCATCAGTGAAAACCAAAGTGCATTTGTACCAGGGAGACTGATAAATAAAAATGTCCTAATAGCATATGAGATTTTTCATACACTGAAACTCAGGAAAAAAGGGAAAGAGGGATGGAGTGCCATAAAACTAGAGTAAAGCATATAACCGTATAAAATGGGCTTTCTTAGAGGCAATCATGATAAAACTAGGCTTCAATGAAAAGTGAATTTTTATTATAAGGCATTGCATATCTTCTGTTACCTACAATGTAATTCTCAATGGAATCGTCACTCACAAAGTCATACCAAAAAGGGGTCTCTGACAAGACAACCCCTGTTTACATTTTTTATGCACAGAGGAGTTGTCTGCACTACTATCGAAGGATCGACATAAAGGCTTGATGCATGGAGTTTGAGCTAGAGTGAATGGCCCACGGATCTCTCACTTATTTTTTGCAAATAACGGTTGGCTATTTATCAAGGTAAACCAAATGGAATGCGAAAGAGTGAAGTATTTCCTAAAGATCTATAAGGAAGGGTCGGGGTAGAAAATCAACTATGATAATCAGGATTATTTTTCAGCCAAAACACTAGAAATGTCAAAATAGAGCTGGTCAATCAGAACTTTGGGATTCAGGTAACAAGTGATCCAGAAAAGTACCTGGGCTTACCGATGATAATTGGGAAGAGTAAGAAGAAACTTTTTGGGAAATACTAGACAAGATGAAGCGGAGAATAGAAAGCTAGAGCCATCAGTGGATGTCTTAGAGAGGCAAATAAGTGTTCATCAAGGCATTCCTACAATCTATGTCATTATATGCGATGTCTCGTTTCATGTTTCCAAAGGGTTTTTGTCATGAATCAAATATGACAATTTGCAATTACTGGTGGAGCAAGACACAAGCAGTAAAGGGATACATCGGAAGCAATGGAAAGACATGTACAAAGGGAAGCAGGTGGGTGGAATGGGATTCAAAGACCTGGAAATATTCGACGAAGCTCTAATTGCAAAACAGGGTTGGAGGCTAATGCATAATACATCATTTCTGGTGTATACTGTTTTAAAAGCAAAATATTTCCTAAAGATGTCACTTGTAGAAGCTGAATTGGGACATTTGCCATCCTATACATGGCGAAGTATATACATGGGCAAGAGGGTATTGCAGAAAGGTATCTGATGGCAAGTAGGAAATGGGCAAAAGATCAGAGTATGGAGAGATAAATGGGTCCCAAACAAACAGGGTTTTGTATCGATCCCCCGTGTTAAAGCTGATGGGGCAAACATTTTGGTTCATGAGCTAATTAACAGGCAAACACAAACATGGAATGTGGAAAAATTAGAGATGCTATTCCCAAGTGAAGTAGCTAAAGAATTCACTGCAATACCTATAAGCAGACATGATTTTCTTGACATGATAATTTGGCACATCACAAAAAATGGTCATTACAGTGCTAAAAGTGGATATCATTTGTTGAGCAACAATGCCCAAATGAATGAAAGGGAACAGCAGGAGCCTGAGGAAGGTGAAGTTAGTAGCAAAGAACAATTCTGGAGTCAACGGTGGCAAGCCAAAATATCCAACGAAAAAAAAGTCTTTAGGTGAAGGCTTTATCACGTTACTACCAGTTTATGTGAACCTGAGGAAAAGGAAAATATTGGAGCATTAGTTTGTCTAAGGTGCCAGCAACACGAGAAAACAATATTGCACGCCATTAAAGAATGTGCCCTTATAGCAAAGGTTTGGACAACGGCAAACCTAGACAGTGCTAGCAAAAAGGCAATCTCCAAAATACGATGGAATGTATAACTTCAATAGCTAGCAACATAGAGAAGAACAACTTTGAACTGGGGCTGATATGGTGCTGGGCCATATGGAAAAGCAAAAACAATGAAGTAAACATCAATATTTTAGAAGCCTGCAGAATGTAGCAAATTTTGCTAAACAATACCTGGAAGAATACCATGGAGTCCAAGAGACGTGCTAGGGAAGATCGACAACTGGGGTGGAGGCATGGAAGGCACCCAGTGCTGAGACACTCAAGGTTAACTTTGATGGGGGGGTTAAAAGCACAAACAGGGAAGGAGGTCTTGGAGCTATAATCAGGGACAATACAGAAGCGGTCTTTAGTGCGATGTTCATGCCAACATCGAATCGTGTAGATCCCATGCGGGTTAAAGGGATGGCTGTTGTAATCTAATTGAATTAAAGGCTACTGAATTTGCTATTGATATGGGGTTCAACAAGATTATTCTGGAAAGAGATGCTTGGGGGATTATCAGACATATATAGCAGGCAGAAACAGACTTATATCCTATTGCAATCTAATTGAGGAGGTTAAGCTGATGCTAAGGAACTTGGATGAATCGACATGTTCGTATGTAAAAAGAGAGGCAAACGAAGCAGCCCACACTGTAGCAAAACCCGTTGTAGGAAGTATAGAAACTAGATATTAGGTAGAAGATAGCCCTGATGCTGTTGTGCCAATCATTGAAAAGGACTGTAACCTTGCTTAAGTTTAATGAACCTACCAAGCTTTAAAAAAAAAAATCTACGATTGATTATTATATGTCACTTCTTTAATTATAAACATCCATTAAATACTGAGTTATATTCATTGAATCAGGATTTTAGAAATGAATATATTTACTAAATTTTGGGATGAGTAATTTAAAGGAAAGTCTGATGATATATACGAGGGATTCATATAAAACTTTTTATTTTTATCTTTTTTTAATTAAAATCAATAATTAAAAAATATATAAAATTAAAAAAATTATATATTTTGCATAAATCCTAGCAATAAAAAATCAACATCAAATAAAATTGTTCATTCAAATACTTAAAATTAATTCTTTCAAAACTTTAAAGTTATATCCGTATCCTTTAAGTCATTAATTCACGTTTACAATTTAAAAAATATATATTAATAAAAGTTTATATTTAATATATTGACAACATATAAATTTTATATTCTGTCATTAAATATAAAGATTTATATTTGATAAAAAAAATTTTAAAAATTAAAAATCTTAAAATATAAAATAATAAAAGTTAGTATCAATTTATTTTTATAGACTTCTCAACTTTCAAATTTAATAATTAATGATGTGATAATTTAAAATTTATTATAAATATTTAAAATTTATTATAAATATTTAAAATTTATATACTATTAATGAATCAAATATAAACTTTACTAGTAAATTACAGCCAAAGAACTAGGTCTTATAATATTAATATGAATAAAAAAAAATAGACCGGACTTGGATTGAAGCGTGCTCACTGTTCAGTGCAAAAAAGCACTTCCATGGTGCAAATGCACCGTGGTTTTCTGCTTACGTAAATGGCACGATTGTCTGACGTGGCACCAGTGAAGGGTCCATTCTCCACTGTTGAGGAAAGCATGTGGTGACGCTGAGCCACCACACCTTTCGTTGGACATTTTTGTCCTTAAAATATCTTTTTATTACAATTTTACCTATATATTTAAAAGTTTAAAATTAAAATAATTTTTTAATTAAAAAATAACATTTTATTTGCGTCACATTATTATTTTGTTCATTGTACTTTTAAAAAATTAATATTTTTTTCTAAAATATCCCTTAAAAATATTAAACTCTACTATAAATAAATAATAAATATATTTATCTAGAATTAAATAAGTAAATAACACTTAACAGATAAATTTATTATACAAAATAGTAAATAAATATATAGTAAATAAAAAATTAAGATAATTTAATTTACAAAATAGAAAATAAATATATAATAAATAAAAAAAATTAAGAACTCAATATATATTTAATTTTTAAAAGAAATCATTTGATATATTATTATTTAATTATTTATTAAAAATAATTATTGGACATAAAAACAATTTTAATATTTTTAAATTATTTCATAAACATTGAATAATTTAAATTTTTTATTATATAAATATTTTGATTTAATATCTTTAACTATCATTTCTCTTCTCAGTATAATTCATCTCATTATAATTTTTATCCACCATTAATTTTAATATCCAATTACACTTTAAAATATCAACATACAATAACTGATCTTATGTTCACCAGTATTTTCCAGCCAATCCCTCCAATCTCTCCTATCCAAATTGACCCTTAAATTAAATGAATGGACAGAACAGAAACCAAAGCTAAAATCTTAAGACACCACATTGATTTGTTTCAACGGTTCTCAAATGTACGCAATAAGACAAAGGTAGTGAAACAAGTTTAGTTTCAAAGTTTAATATCGGCTGGCTTGGCAAGCTTCAATTTCTTAGCATAAAAAAACAACACGAAAAGCGAGAAGATTCAATTAGTACTTGCGAAAATGAAATCATTCAAATCAAAAGCATCGATTCAATATTTGAGGATGTTACAATCAATTCTCCATATCTAATCAAGTTTGTAGCAAATACCAGTAATTGAACATGATAAACAGGGGATTAGCACAACAATAAAACTGAGAAGAAAATATAAATAAAAAGTCCTTAGATTATTATAAATGGTACTCCAATTCATTTGTGGTAGTCTCTTAATTCCTGTAAGAGAAATCGAGAAACAAATATTACATCTATTTCGCATACAAAAGGCAGAGGAGAAAGCAAGTAACAAGTTTCTTTCCAGATAAGAAAAACAATTTTCCCCGCACCGCCGATTGCATCTGCGGAAGATATCATTGGAACCAACCTCCTCGATCCATTGAACTATTAGCAGGCTAACATTGTTCTAATATATATTTTTAGTTCTTCTTCAAAAGCATGGCTCTGAGCTCAGCCACGTCGATCTCGTTAGCACAGTTCTCGGGTCTATAACATCCGGTAACTGGGTCCGGAACCCATGAAACCTTCTCTTTAGCTCCTGCCATCTCTTCCCCTGTTTTCTTCACCACCGCAGCGTTCCTTGCCGTTCCTCCTCTTACTCCACTCAAAACAACTCCTTGTGATCCCGCAGCATATCCTCGTCTAAACAAAAACAAAACCAAAAATCATTAAATCTTTGATCCTTTATTATTTTCTCAACAAACCAAAAAATAAAACCCAAAAAAATAGAGCCCTGGAAATGAAAAGAACTTCTGGGTACCTGAAAATTGAGTTAGAGATTCCATCGACAACAAAAGCAGAGAAAAGCTTAACGTTTGAGAAAGAGCGAGCCATTTCTTTCTTCTTTAAACAAAACAAAAATTAAAACTTAGGAATGAGAAACTTGAATGCTACTGCAGAGTGCTTTTTTTCTTCTTGAAAGGAAAAGAAACCGTCCGCAGCAGCGAAGAAGAAACTCTCTCTCTTTCTCTCTAAACTCTTTAATGAAAGATGGGTTGGGCTCCAAGAGCGACTCTTGTTGGGTTTATGTAGGAAAGAAAAAGTAGTGAGAGCGCGTGAGAGGCGAGAGGAAACAGTAAAGTTCAACAGGAACTCGTCAACACACGAGCAACGGACCTCTGTGTTGCTGACACCTGGATCTTCAACCAAAGACGTTTTTGTTTTTGTTAAATTTAGATTTAAATCGTTAAATAAATGAGAAACACGATGTTAGCCCTTGATTGAAGGTGAGGTTGCCTTTGGGAAGGGTCAAAATTTTCGGCGAGGGCGATCAAAAATGATCGAACGGTTGAAGGACAGTGAATGATTTGAGTGCGGACTTTTTCTTCAATCCATATCAAGCATGTGAAATGAGAGGGTCTTTCATGGGTTCAACCAGGAAAGGTCGGCGTGAGTGCGGGAATCCTTCTAAATTGACTGATATAGGGATTGGTGGTGACATCACATCCGTTCACGTGTAGAAGAAACAGTCTGAAAGAGGTGGCGGACTTTCCTTCTTGGTTCTAGAAGCCAAGGGTGAAAAAATATATATTCACAATTATAATTTTTTATTTGATTTGCAATAATTTTTATTTAATTTATTTTAAATTTGAATATTAAATATATATTAAATTTAAATTAAAAAATAAAAATTTAAAAAAGTTGAATTCAATCAAATTATACATTTTTATTAATTTTTATATATTTTAAATTGTTATAAAAATAAAATAATAAATTTTATATAAAAATTATTTAAATATATCAAAATTTAATAATAAAATAATATATAAAAATAATAAAATTTAAAATTTAAAAATAAATAAATCAAAAAAATTAAATTAATAATATCATATTCAATTCAAATTAAATCATAATATATTTAATTCAAATTCTAAATATTTATAATATTATATAGTATATAAAATCAAATTGAATTTAATTATTCTTACGGTAAGCACTTGATAACCTTGTTTCGAGGGTCCTCAAGGTGTCCCTACCAAGTCAAGGGTCATTGGCTAGTGACTCAGTGGCCCTGTTTTGCCATCAATCTCCAAAATTATAGAATCTTGTTGTCATGTTAATTTTTGTTACCATCCAAGAAATAATTGATACATTTCAAATTACAATACGGTTCATTGAATTAAGTGAAAATGAAAAGAAATAGTGGCAATCGCGTTAGATAATGGTCACAGGCTGGAGTGTTTCGCTTTCTGCTAACAGATAATCGGGTGATGTTCGAGGAGCCCTTTTCGCTCAATTTTCCGTGATGGCTTTCGTCTTTTGTTCTCTGCCTCTGAATTTATTATTCAGGAAAATGTAATTTAGTTTCAAAATTATAACTTGCCATCATTTAAAAAAAAAATTAATATAAATAAATTATTTAATTTTTTAAATCAAAATAAAATATATCATATTTAATAATTTAAAATAAATGATAATAAATTATGTATTTAAAATTATTTTAATAAGTTATTATTAATAATATTTAAATTTAAAAATTTTTAATTAAAAAAATAAATTTAATCGATTGAATTAATTATTTATTAATATAATTGATCATAGTTACAACGCACTTTTTTTTTTCTTTAAATTCCTTTGCTGCTTTTAAAAATTTACGTACGTTTCTTTTTTAAAAAAAAAACGGCAAAATTTTCACTATTAATCTAAAGTTCTTAAATGTATTTTCACTATTAATCTAAATGATTTAATTATAGATTTAATTAAAAGTACATTTAACATCTTTAAATAAATTATAAAAATTTTTATTATTTTTTAAATAGTGAAAATGTTTCTTTCTTTTATTACAATGTAAATTTAGATTTAAAAAAAAAAAAAAAGTTGAGCTCCTGTAGTCACTGCTTCAGGTCAGTCCTCGGACCTTGCAGCTTACAGCTAGCTCGCTAGCAAAGCACCCCCTTCTCTTGCGTGCGATTGCAGGCATGCAGCAGTTTTATGTACTGTCTACAGCCAATAAATAATTAAGGCTGGCTCCTGGCTGGCGGCGAGCCGGCAATTAGAGGATTTTTTTAAATATCATTATTTTATTGAGGATATTTTTCCAATAATATTATTTTGGATTCTATAAAATATAGTATATACTTATATTTTTTTAAGGAAGTATATACTTATATTTAATAAAAAGAGTTATGCTAATATAAGTATTTTTACGGCATTTTTGAAGGCTGTTTCTTATCTAATATTTAAATATTATCATAAATAATAATTTAATTAATTTTAAAGATCATAAGCAAAATTTATTCAAAATATATATGTAATATTAATGACTTAGATAAATATTTGAGTTAATATTTTGATTTTTAAATTATAATAAAATGCTTAATATAATTTTTAAATTTTAAAAAATTCTAATATAATATATAAATTATAAATCTATTAATTAATATAATATTTAAAAAATTATTTGTTAGACATATTTATTATTTAAAACAAAAAATATTAAAAATAAATATTATATTAATTTAAAAATTATAATTCATCAAATATTACATTAAATATTTTTAAAATTCAATAATTATATTAAACATTTTACTAAAATTTAATAATCATTTTAAAACATTAATCCTAAATATTTTAATCACGACGAATTTATTGAGTGACAAAAATATTTAGAGTTATTAGTTTTTGAAATCATTTGCCTTGGCAAACTAAAATTTAGAAGTGAAATTTTTTTAGAAGCATAATCCAATGTACTTCCTCTCTATTTCTTACCGTGAGCTTCTTCAATGATATGTAGCCATAAATATGTTTTCTATTTTTTTTTTCAAATAATTGTCATTTTCAAAGAGTTTTGTTTGTTTAAAATTCATCCTCCATCAGAAAAATAATGGTTGAAGCTTTTATATATTTCAATTTTCACGTGCGGAATATCCGTAGCTTATCACATCGTTGCATCAAAAGATTCAAACTCACCAACAAGTCACATTCTCAATGGCCATGATTGGGATGACGTATGTATAATGTGACAATAAGATAATAGCATTTAAAAAAAAAGTTGGTCAACCTATATTTTCAAAAAAGCCAATGCCAATAACAACTTGAAATTGGTAGTCGGTATTTGCCAGATGCAATTAACTTTGCCGATAAACATAGAAACCATCACTACTTCTTTCTTACGACAAGTTGGAACTACTAGACTAAAGCTATCCACTTGTTCTTATTTCATCCTTATCATAGAAAAGGGAGAGATAACGTATTATTATGATCGCACTCCCATTTTCATATGGGGCCCAAAACAAATACGACTTTGCGTTGATAGCAAGAGACGGGTCGACACTCACATTCTCCTCAAGCTGCTAAAGAATCGTCTACCAAAATTTTTTTTTTTTTTGCCTCTGGATGTATCAAGTTTAATATAGTTGCAAATTTTTGCAATCAAGTAACGTAACATGCCATCTTATTATGTAATTTTTAAATTAAATATGGGAAGATTCACATTCAAAATTTTTAAGTAAGAATAAACATGCATTAACCAGTAAGCTACATGTTTGAATCTATGATCTCATTTTTCTCAAGTCGGTGTACTATCTTATTCAATTTAGATCCTATAAATATAAATTATTGTAAGTGAAAATTTTAAATTTTATAACTGAAATTAATTGAGGTACATATTTTTAAGATATATTAAAAAAAATAAAAATTAATTAAAATAAAATATGTATCAATCTACTAATCATACTTGTAAAATAAAAAAAAAACTACAGTAATAATATATAAAAAAAATTGAAAAGGAAAATAAAATCTTATGGGTTTGATTTGGATTCAAGTGCACCTTTTTCCTTTTCTGGTCCATAGGATTGGCTCGAATTGAGGAAAGGTGACCCATCCCCAGCCCAATATTAGGTTCAACCTTTCAGTCCTTTCCAGCTTTCCCCATCGGCTGTCTGCAACGACTAGTGCATTTACCCAAAAACCCTGAATTCAACCCAATTTTGCTGTTAGGCCAACAACTTTGCTCGTCTCACTTTGCTTAGAGCCAGAGCGAGGGGGAAAAATGGCGGAGATTCCTCAGGGAGAAGAAAATCGTCCGAATATTACTTTATACATCAATAATCTCAACGAGAAGATCAGAATCGATCGTACTTATTTCAAGTCTCTAAACAAAATTAAAGGGCTTACATTGTTTTTTCTTTTTTATTGATTTTTTTTTTTACTTGAATGATGTTTGCAGAGTTGGAGAAATCGTTGCACGCTGTCTTTTCACAAATTGGAAAGATACTGGATGTGTTAGCATTCAAGACGCTGAAACAATAAGGTCAAGCTTGGGTTATTTTTTTAACTCCGCTACCAATGCTCTTAGGCGAATGCAGGGCTTTCCCTTTTACGACAAGGAAATGGTATATGCATTTTTTTAACTTTTCTTTCTCTTTGCATATGATTCGATCATTTCAGTAATTTGGGTTCTATTTATGTCTGTGTTTAGGTTGTTTTCTTTTTTTTTTTTTTTTTTTAGACGATGTTGGTTGCCTTTTATTTTTGACAACAATGTTTAGATTTTACTGGGTACTGTCATTAGTGGAGAAAGCATTAATTGATAAAAATTTTCTTGTACTATGTCAAAATTACTAATTTCTTCATGAATTTAGGTGGATTTTCTGGAGATTTAGGTGGATTTTCAGGATATTCGGATTATATCTATAAACAGTGTTCTCTACTGCCCTAAAGCGTCATAATTTTTAATACTAATAAATAATGAAAGTAATAATTATTTGCAGAGAACATATATCAGATATAATACCAAAGACTAAAGCAGATATAATAGCAAAAGCAGATGGCACTTTTCTTCCCCCAGAGAAGCGAAAGAGGCATGAGGAAAAGGGTACATTCCTCTGTGTCCCTTATCTTTAGTTGAAAAAGCTAACAGTTGAGAAAGTAATATTGTATTTCATTTGTCTATATTTGTACGTGCAATCAGTATGGCTTCTTTCGTTGTTAGAAATCAGTTCTTTCCTTTATTTTCACTTGGATTTTTGGATCCTCTTTTGAACTTTGCATCATAGACTATCGAAATATTACTAATAAATCTATTGACTGTTGAGTGAATGCACATTTTGATGTATTATAAATTGTCTTAATGTTAAAATAAATCTCACTCCTTCATCTGCCTTCCTCTTTTCACTGTTATTTTCTTTTGTCCCACCATTGATGTCATTAGTTGGGTCCTTAATGTCACCAATAAACTCATTTATTCAAGAGAAAGTACTTTTGGTGTACATTAAAATGTAGATGGAAAAATAAAACTCAGGATTGTTATGTGTTGTACTATTTTTTTTAATATTAAGCGTGTGTCTTCACCCTCTTTCTTTGACTTGTTGCTTATTCTGACCTATGTGGGATACAGTTTTTCTGTTCTTTTTGTTTTTTAGTTGTCTTTCCTTTTCTTCTCTTGAGATTTGTATATTGTTTGAATGTAGGAGGAAAAAAACGAAAAGAGCAACTTGATCCTGATCAAGCAGCAGGAGGTGCGGGTGCTTATGTTGCAACACCTCCTGTAAGTGATACGAAGTGTAGTATCTTATTATTTGATTGATCATGTCTTTTCTCTCTCTATGGAATCTGGTTGAAATTAACCTTTCTCAATCTTGCAAGTTGCAACTATGTTCTCAGTATGGATTGCTCAGAAGGTTATATTTTTAATGCTTTGGTCAACACATTTATAACTTTTGAGCAGCTGAAATCCAGTTGTTGCAAACCTAATGCTGGTCAAAAGAGTTGGAGATAGCATTTTTTATTCAATCTGCATGGAATTTTTGTTTTCTGGTTTGCAGTGTTTATTTGTTTGTTCTCTTGAATGTTGGATGCTAATTGAACTTGGCCATTCATTATCATGAGACCTCTATGAGACTCTGGTGGTCCACTTGGATGGTCAAGATTGGATACTTTAGAATTGTAATTGAGTGAAAAATGGTCCTTTGTAAGGGTCTTGTCATATTATTTACTTTGAAATAAATATTAATTACATCTTCTCATTATCATGACTCCTCATCACTTTGCTCCTCTCTTTTTCTCCAAAATGTTACAGCCATCACAAATACCCTACCTAGGTGCTAGACAAATTGTTCCAGAAGCTCCTGCACCACCAAATAACATTCTGTTTGTTCAGAATCTTCCCCATGATGCAGCCACGATGATGCTGCAGATGCTCTTAATCAACACCCCGATTTAAAGGATGTTAGGATGGTCGAAACAAAACCAGGTATTGCCTTTGTGGAACATAAAAACGAGATGCAATCAACAGTCGCAATTCAGGTACTACAAGGTTTCAAGATACAGCAAAACCAGATGTTGATTACTTATGCAAAGAAATAGAAGGAAAAACCGAAGGAGTCCTTTTCTGTTACTACCAACATGAGAAGGCCTTGTTTATGGGTAGTCAATTAGATGCCATCAAATCTAATAGCTGTTTTGTGATATATAATTCTATTTAACTAGATTTTCAGAATTGTTATTGTAGATTGCGTTCTAGATGTTCTTTTCTGCTACAATTTTTCTTTCGAACTTGTCTTTTTTGAAAATAAAAAAATAGTTGATTGATGCTTACCCATGTTTTTGGTTAATCTTTTAAGCTTGTATATTCTTTGGATTATTAAATTCTAAAAACACTTTCATATTTAATTCAGGTATCAACTCGTATGCCATTACGATTTCATAAGGTTGTCAACCAGGGTTTTTTGTGATGGCTTACTTCACTGAAAAAGAGAATGCACCAAAGCACAAACATGAAGGGCTGTTCTAGATGACAATGGATGGTAAAATAAAACCCATTATTGTCTGATCTGTTTGCGTTAGATTTAGATAATTATAAACAAATAATTAATAAATTTGAATATGAGATTTATTATCTGTGACTGTTTCAAAAAGGATACGAATAATATGTTTTGATTATCTAATAATCAAATTTGTTTAAATTTTAATAACTAATAACAGATCAATTACCTGTTTACATATATAAAATATATAAAATTTTTAATCTTAACAAATAAATTTTATTTATTATTAATTACAAATAATTTTAAATTTTAAATTTAAATTTTATTTATTTTATATTTTGTTAAAATTTTAAAAATTAAATATTTTAATAGATTGTGATATTTTAACTATTCAAATAATTATATTAAATCTAAATGAATTTGGATACAAATACTTAATAAATAGTAAAAGATATCTTCTCTATTATCATCCTTACTCTAATCTATCATTTCTTTTTCCAAAATGCTGTTTGGTTTTCCGTTTTCATGCCAAACCCATTTCAAAAGAGTACATATTTACCACAGCATTTCTTTTCTTTTTTGGTAAGAAAAATTCAAAGATAAATAGGTTAGTTTCACATGTTAAGATAAAATATATCGTATTTGATAATTTAAAGTAAATGATTGGGAGTCATGCATTTGAGATAATCCTAATAAACGATCATCGATAAAATTTAAATTCATGATCTTTTTATAAAAAAAAAAAATAAATTTTAACCAATTGAATTAACAACTTATTGATACCACAATATTTTATATCAAAGCGGATGCATCAACTTCATTTCTGTAGTTGCAACAGTGCGTATTTACCTCTGTCATGGTTACTAATCAATAATTGGATTCGTGGTTTTTCTTTTCACAAAAGAGATGTTAGTATGAAAATAAAAAAATTAATTGATTCAAAATTTATATTTATCGAATATTATTTTTTAAAAATAATTATTTAAATCAATTGAAGTAAATTTTAAATTAAAATTTATAATTTTTTAATAATTATCAAATACTTCTTATTAAACTTTAAAAATTCGCTAAATTGATTTTTAAAAAATAACATTTAATAAATTTAATATTCATATTCTATCATATATATATATATATATATAATCCTTTTTCTATCTTTAGATTGAGGTATCTTTTGTAAAAAAAAAAAAGAGAAACGCTTATTTGATTGCTGACCAACATTCACATCAATGATCAAACTTTTAGTAAAAAGACTAAATTAGTATACGGATGGATTGAGTTAATGGTGCTTTCTACAATCACACAGGCAGAAAAAAAAAATTATAGCACCACCGAGCGGCAACATGATTGGTAGTAAAGTAAGACCCTACCTCAAACCAATCTCAAACAAAATAACCTTAGAGATTAGTACATCCTATACTCTCTCCAGTTCAGTATTGTGCTTGTCCAGTTGGTCTGTCAAATCCTTCCTCCATCGCTGGATCAGTTTCTCTTTATTCTTGACGATCTTAGACTTTACCTTCAACTCTTCTTCCATTGTCACAATTTCCTGTTATCGAACAAGCAACACATTAGATTAGAGTTCTTTGGAGTGGATTACTCGCATACAGCATCATCCACAACAAAAGTTGGATGGGTTTACTTTTCTGAGCATTTCAGCCCTAGATGGCTGATCCTCACGTTGCAGGCCAATAAAGTATAACTGCAGCTTCTTGGCAGCTTCCATGAAATCTCTAGCATGTCTCTCTACATCAACTACAGCAATTGCAAATATAACCACTGTTTCAGCACATAAAAATTTTGATCCAAAAACGTCACATGAACTAAATTTCTGTGGTAATACGCTAACAAGTTAAGCTAGAGATTGTAAGTTTGAAAGAAAAATTTTTCTGTTCATGCGTCCTGTGTTTAACAAAAATGAAGCAAAAAAAATGAAAACGCTTTGGAAAGGAAGAAAGGAGAAGGTTGCAAACTCTGATGAGAAGGATGGGGAGAACGGTCGATAGCTTGAAGCTCTCTGGCAGGCAAGCACGGGAGCAAAGCCGTCTCCAACGCCACCACCCAAGAAATCATGTCTTCTCTTGAACCTTGAGACGATTGAATCTGCGGATCCGACTGAAGCTCTTGCCTTTCACTCATGCTTTCCTTCACAAAAGTTGATTTCAATCTGCCTTAAACATAAACAAATTCAAGGTTTAATTTTTCCCCTTCCTCGTACAGACAAAGGTTTCTAAACTTTTTCAGTTTTCCTGGATCTGCAATTCTCAGAGGGCCTTATCTTCTGAGCCCACGGGATTCGGCCCGATATCTGAAAAGATTGCTCGACACGATTTATTTTTAACTCGAACGACGACGTGATGAGAAGGAAGTTTTGATTTTTTGAAGACGCGCCAGTATCATGCTCCGAGAGCTGTTAAAACGACAGAGTTTTGAGTCACATTCCCCACTGTATAAAACTATAACCCTCCATTTCTTCCTACAATCTGAAACGAATTCTACCTTTCTCTGCTTGTTAAAGAGAGAAAAAAATGGCGAGTAAGACAGCTCCGAGCCGAACTCGCCAAGCGTGAGCTTGACACCACCGGAACCAAGCCCTTTCTGGTTGCCTAATCTCCTTTTTACTCTTTTATATGCATTTTTCTTCTTCATTTCCCCATTAATTTTGAGTTGTTAATAACAGGTGCAGAGACTGGAGAAAGCTTTGCTTAAAGAGAAGAAGAAAGAAGAAGCGGACAAAGAAGAGAATGATACAAATATTGGCTTTCAAAATAATAAGAAAAAAAGATGGAGGGAGCTCGATGCCGATGATTACGGGGATTCAAGCAAAGTGAAGGCCGTTGAGAGTTTCTATAAATGAATGTTAAGCAATTACGTGATGAAGCTACTCTTCGAGGTCTTTCTGCTGTTGGAACCAAAAAAGAACTTCTTGAGAGGCTTTGCGAATATGGAGACAAAAATTCTCTTGATGGTAAAAGATTTTCAATTTTATTGTTCATTTTGTTCGCTAATTTAGTTCCATTAATGAAAGATGGAAGCTAAGCTTTTTTTTTTTTATGCTGCAGTGGTAGTCAAGGAAGAAGAAGAAAAGAAAGGCAGTAGCAAGGAAGAGAACATTGTCACGGTGACAAAGAAAGGTGCGGCAGTTTTGGATCAGGTAATTCCAGATCAGATAAAGGCTCATTATCCTGTTTTACAGCAGGCTAGTAATCTTTGCAGTTAAAGTTCAATTTTCAAGCCTGTCAATTTGGATTTATTTTATTTTATTTTACTTTTTGAAAACACAAATTATTTTAATTTCTTTGATGCAGGGTGATCATATCTATGATGCCATGTTAAATCAGACCAATGTTGGGAATAACAATAACAAATTCTATGTAATTCAACGTCTAGGTTAGTTCTCTAGTTTCTGTAATGTTGTTGCACATGTTATTTGCAATTGCACTACTGATTTCCAGTTTTCAAATTTATTGCTTCAAGCATTTTTTGATCAAATTATAATTTAATAATTAGTCATAACGAAAGAGAATAAGAAGATGGTTTAGGCTCATTTACATTCATTTGCATATAGTTCTTTTCTTTTTTTCTTATTTGGGCGTGTGTGTGGGTTTGGGAGGGGGTGTTTGCAAGTTTTGCTAAGATCATGATTTCCTTTCTTGCAGAATCTGATGACTGCACGACATACGCGGTTTATAATAGATGGGGTAGAGTTGGTGTAAAGGGTCGAACTAAGTTACATGGCCCCTTTACATCCCAATAAGCTGCAATTGCTGAGTTCGAATCAAAGTTCTTTAACAAGACCAATAACTATTGGTCCGACAGAAAAGACTTTCTCTGTTATCTAAGTACTATACCTGGCTGGAGATGGACTACGTTGAAAATGAAAAGCATTCTGGTATGAGTTGTTTTAAATTTTATCACACAAATAGATGACTTACTGGCTCCTGCTCCTTCCCCTCTATCTTCCCCTTCCTAATTTACCTAAATGTTTGAAGCTTTCCTTGCCCTAAATTTGTCTTTTTGAAAATGAGGGGCATCCTATATCCTACCCTTGTATATGGAGCCTTGATTGCCTGATGGATTGCTCCAATTCTCAATTATTATATCCAGGTCAAAGAAAAGACTGACTCTTCCATAGGTACTCATTTGCGGGAGACAAAGCTTGAACAACGGGTTGCCAAATTTATCTCTCTTATATGCAATATCAACATGATGAAGCAAAAAATGATGGAAATAGGTTAGTTAGCTAATTATTTATTAACTAACATGTGATAGATATTTGGTTGTATCTTTAATCAGCATTTGGTTCCTCTGGTTTTCTAGTGCTTTACAAATTCATTTTTATTAATATCCTTCTGCTGCTGCTAATATTTCATGTAATGTTTTGTTTGTCTTTTAGCATACAATGCTGACAAGTTGCCACTTGGTAAGCTAAGCAAATCAACAATTTTAAAGGTAATTTTTAGAGACATGCACAGAACATTTCTCTTTGAAACTTTCTAGGTTAGTTAGAAAGTATAAAAGATTGTAGAAGGCAAAAACTATTCAACTTTAGTGATTATTCACATGCAAGGCATACTTTTCTAAACTAATTTTAAATATCAAAGGTCTAGTCAGGTCGTTGAGTCAGTTTAAGTATAACTTATGCTTAGGTGCAACAACTTTCAATGCTTTGATCTTAGAGATGGCTTCTTTTCCTCTGCTCCTGATTCTACTTTTGGAGTTGAGTGTGCCTTTTTCATCCATGCTGGTACCCCTACCTCCTGCTATGCATTGTTCTTACGATGGTTTCATAGCATCAAACTTATTATAGGGAATGCCTTGGTTTCACACTGCTTGCGTGCTTGTCTTTCTCAAGCTTGCATTAACTATAGTACTTGCATGTAATGAGCACATTTGTTTGATACTATGGATTTGCCTAAATGACAAATTAATTATGCTTGGATATGTTCAGGGCTATGATGTCTTAAAGAGAATTGCTGATATGATTGACCAATCAAACAGGAGCAAGCTTGAGCAGTTAAGTTAGTAAGAAATTTTTTTTAACTGCTATTACATAAATAACAATAATGCTTTATATTCAAAATAGCATCTCATGTTCATCACAACTTAATGCTCTCTATTTTTTTCCTGAAGTCTACTTTTGAATTGTGGAGTTTCATTCTTGATTCTTGGTTAATTATTTTTTCTTTTAATCACAGGGAATTCTATGCTGTGATTCCACATTATTTTGGATTTAGAAAAATACGTGAGTCTTCTCTCTCTCTCTCTTTCTCTCTCTAACATACACAATAACAATATTGCAACTAACATGGAAATATGAATTGTGGCAGGTGATTTTGTCATTGACATGCCTCAAAAGTTGAAAAAGAAGTTGGAAATGGTGATTTATTTAATTTTAGTTTGAGAAATATGATTTCTTTGTGCTATCTTGGTGGAAGGTTTTTCTTGTATCTAGCCTATATTTTGTTTTAATTATTTTCTTGACAACTTTGGTAAATCTGTCCCTGTAGTTTTTAATAACATTGAGTATTGTTTTTTTATGTGAGCCTTTTTACATGTTTCAGCCAATTTTCTTAGCTGCTTTCTTTTATAAGGGGCAATCTCAGATACTTTTATGTGATTGAAGGTTGAAGCCCTGGGAGAAATAGGGGTTGCAGTGAAATTATTAACGGACATCACCATGGAGGAGGTATTACTTATAAGCTATGATGTACCTTTTCTACATTCTTCTCCTCCCTTTTTAAATCTCCTTTTCGTTTCCATCCTTCAAGTAAGTTGAATATTAAGCTTTTGAATAACTAAAGTACTTGCATGCCTAACAAGCATTGCATCAAGTAACCATGGTTGTATCTTGCCTGCAAATATACAAGATTATTGCCTTCATACGCATCATACGTGGGTGCCTGAAGTTGGTTTTTCTTGTAGAGCTTATTTTGCATTTGTGAGTGCTGCAATTGTGTGTACAGTAAACCATATAGCTTTCATCAATAGTCAATTTTAGTACCCAAATTTCTTCCTTCTCTAACTTATTTTTGTTTTATATATATATATATATATATATATATATATATATATATTCTTGTGATGCTTACTGTTTTTTCCTGTTCTTTCTCATTGGGTTATATATGCACTAATTTTCTGTTCTAATTTAAGTTTGTGCCATTGTTGTAGGAAGATCCTTTATACTATCGTTGCCAATAGTTTCATTGTGAACTGATTCCACTTGACAATGATTCTGAGGAATTTGCTATGGTATTTGTTTGTCTATGTTTTAGAAGTTTTATTTAAGCAATTTGTAACTTTCTATGTTTTTGAGGCCCTCTTCAAATTTTTAAAAAACATGTAATTTGCAGAACAGTTTTGCAATTTTTTTACATTTTTAGCATGCATTTTTCATAGCTATCTGTTTAGATTTTTGTTATTCACTTTCTCTTCCTATGATCAAATTGCAAAGTATGCCCAGAACACTCATGCAAAGACATTCAAATTTACTGTTGATATTGTTCAAAATTTCAAGGTGGCAAGAGAAGGTGAAGCTGAACGCTTTGAAAAGGTGTCCCTCTCGTGAAAATGTTTTGTATTTCAAATTTAATATTTTCCTGTTGAAGTGTAGAATGTCCTGTTTACCAAGTGTTTTATATTGGTCTATCCTAATGGCTGACTTTTGTGAGCAGTTCTCTGGAACCAAAAATAGAATGTTTTTGTAGCATGGTTCTTGGCTTACTGGACTGGCATTCTGTCCCAAGGTCTATCCTTTTCTCTCTTGTTTCTGAATGTAGTCAAGCATGTATAGATTTGTAGGCAGGATGTGTTTCCTTTTTCTCCTGTTTCTGGATCATGGTATTGGCATTCTATATCAAGGTCTTTCCTTTTCTCTCTTGTTTATGCATGTTGTCAGTGATGTATGAATGGGAATGCAGGATGTGTTTGTCAATAACTACAACATATCTGACTGTGTCTTGTACTTAACATGCAAAAGGTTTGCGCATTGCTCCACCTGAAACACCTGTGACAGGTTACATGTTTGGAAAGGGAGTTTGCTTTGCTGGTATGTTCTCCAAAAGTGCAAATTATTGCCATGCCTGTTCTGCCTTTACAACTGGGCTGCTGCTTTTTTGCGAGGTTTGTTCTTAAATCAGTTCTAAAGATAATTTGGTAGTAAGCTGGAACATGGTTCTACCATCAAATGTGTTAATTATTGTGTCAATGTTACAGATTTATACCAGAGATTACGAACTGATGGTCTATGTATCAATGGTTCAAAGTTCAAACTGATTAATTCTCTGGAAAAAAAATTAGTTTCCTGTCATGATCTGAATTAATTTGATGCTTTGATATGAATTTTCTTGGAAATGTTGAAATTGACTGCTTGCTATCAATTTTGCCATTCGTGCATTCCCTCATCCTTCCATATACAATAATATATCATTTCTTTCTTGTCTTCCTTGTGGTTTAGTATTCTCATTGGCCATTTACCCCTTAGGTTGCACTGGGTGACATGGCTGAGCTTCTACAAGCTAAAAGTAATGTTGATAAGCTGCCAGATGGGAAGTTGAGGTATGTAAATTTAAAAAATGAATGAGCTGGCTAGTTTCCCACACAATTGTCGATCACCAAGTTTCGGTACTTAATCTTCTCTTTTAATCTTGTAAATTTTTGTGAAGGATATTGGCTTCTGTCTCTGTTATCCCTTTTGGGATAACGGGCAGGGACTTGTCCTGTTGTAGTGCTCTTATTTC